CTGCCCGGGGAGGGAGCTGCGGGTGAGTCACAGGCAGGAAACCGATTGCATCAGGAACGGGGCTTGTTTTTTCCAACCGGACTCCCGGAAAGCCCCGCTCCGTTTTCCCTCTATCCCTTCCTCTCCCCAGTGCCATGGAGAAGGGAACCGGCCCCTTGACCAGAAGCTCAGTGGCCTCGGCCTCGTCCTCCACGGCCACCTTCAAGGAGGAGCTGCTGTGCCCCATCTGCTACGAGCCGTTCCGGGAAGCCGTGACCCTTTGCTGCGGCCACAACTTCTGCAAGGACTGCGTGAGCCGTTCCTGGGAGCACCGGCATCACGCGTGCCCCGTCTGCAAGGAAACCTCCTCCTTCGACGACCTCCGCGTCAACCACACGCTCAACAACCTGGTGGAGATGATCCTGAAGGAGGAAGGGCAACGGCGGAACCGGGCGGCCACCCTCTGCCCGCTCCATCACGAAGAAGCCAAATTCTTCTGCCTGGAAGATAAGGAGTTGGCGTGCTTTGCCTGCCAAAGCTCCAAGCAACACGAAGGGCACAAGATGCGGCCGGTGCACGAGACGGCGGCGGATTTCAGGGTGAGGAATGCTTTGGGAAACAGAGGGATCGGTGACACGGGGAGGATTGCGCACGTCCCGGCACAAAGCTGCCAGCGCACGGCTTTGGCTCCTGCGTGGCGTGGTTGCAGCCGCCGGCGTGCCGGGATGAGGGATGAAGCTGGGAGGGTGGTTCCCAGCGGGAATGCTCCTGTCGCATCACTGCCCCACGCTCTCCCTGTCTTATAATTACCCAGAGCCACCCTGTCCCCCCGGGACACGGCTGTTTGCCCCGTGCTCAAGGGGAGCGGGGTGATGCTCCAAGGGGTTTGGCCTTTTCTCGGCTCCTTCATCCGCGGCTCGGCTGGATCCAGCCACGCTGGTTATTGCGACAGCGCTTCGGGGTTGGGAGCGTGTGTTTGGGAGGGGGGTTGCACAATTCCCCCAGCCGGGGAGGGATGTGTCGTGGGGCGGCAGCCCCGTGGGGCAGGATGGGCCATGGTTGCGTGGGGAGGAGGAGGCTCCGGCCAGCAGCCGGGCATCGTGCCAGCATCCGCCGTGTTTCCCGGCTGGCAAAGCAGCTGCTGCCGCCCTGACTCAGCCCGTGGGGGGATGAGCCAAATTTCAAATATCGCGGGGCAACCGTGGGGCTGCCTGTTTCGCCAGGGCAGGGCAGCAGCTGCCTGCAGCAGCGGGACAGGCAGGGACTTGACGGTGCTTCAGGAGAAGGGCTTAAAATCTGGGAATGATTCACCGTGGGGCAAAGCTGCTCTGCCTCGCTGCTTGGGGGCGGCGTGTTTGCACAGCCCTGCGCGGAGCTGACCTCTGCCACAGGAGGGGAAAGGGGGGCATTGAGCAAGGATCCTGCTTGGGCAGCAGCTGCCTGCAGCAGCGGGACAGGCAGGGACTTGACGGTGCTTCAGGAGAAGGGCTTAAAATCTGGGAATGATTCACCGTGGGGCAAAGCTGCTCTGCCTCGCTGCTTGGGGGCGGCGTGTTTGCACAGCCCTGCGCGGAGCTGACCTCTGCCACAGGAGGGGAAAGGGGGGCATTGAGCAAGGATCCTGCTTAACCTCGTCCTGTGGGGTTTGGTGCTCTTTTCTTTCCGTATTGGAAACCCTGGGCGTAGGCTTGCGAGGGTCCTGAAGGCGTCTCCTCCCCGCAGGCCAAGCTGAAGAACATGGAGACTTCCCTGCGGGATAAGGCGAAGGATTTTGGGGCCGTGCATCGCTCCTACAAGTCCATCTCCGCACACAACCAGGTGCGTGGTCCCTCCTGGCAAATGGGCCTGATCCTGACACGTGTGTGCACGCATGCACACGCGTCTGCGTGCGCGCACATACATGCACATGCATGCAT